CCAAAGTTTCCCCACCCCGAAGCTTCCTCTTTTGGGGATATTGATTTTAAGCTGTTTATTAAGAAACAAGACTCAGAACTTTTGACCCTAATCCCTGTCTGTCCAAGAGATTCAAACAGAAACACCTGCTTCAGGAAGGAGATCTTAGAATGTTCTCCTTAGCCTAATTTGAACTAAGCATGGTGAATAAGAGGGCTGCAGGAAGGGGCCTGTTAGCTAGATAGATACTGGCTGTGTTCCGTTATCTCAGAGTTGCCTCGCAGGAAAATTCTTGCTGTATGTTCTGCCTCACGGATGTTCCACTCTTCCAGATTCACCCAGTCTCATTTATGAAAGGTAATACCCGCCTCCTCTTTCTCCAAAGTGTCTTATGTGAATTCCCCATGCACATGTATTAAATCTTTGATTTTTCTTCTGTTAATCTGTCTCAATTTAATTATTAGCTCAGCTAGAACTTGGAAGGTGGGAGGAAAGGTATTAATTTTAGAATTTTTTTTGGCTTAAAACAACAAAACTTTATCGTCTCATAGTTCTGGAAGCCAGAGGCCCAGAATCAAGATGTTGGCAGAGCTGTTTCCTCCTGGAGGCTCTAGGGAGAATGTGTTCAATACCCCTCTTCTAATTGCTGGTGGTCTCCGGCAATCCTTGGTGTTCCTTGACTTGTAGAAGCATCCCTCCCATCTCTGTTTTCATCCATCACATGGCCTTCTCCCTGTGTGTGTCTGAGGTATTAATATTTTTTTAGCCCCCACCAAGAATAAAACAGACAGAAAAGAGCATTAAGACAGCAGACTTAAACCCAAACCTCACAATAATTGCATTAAATGTAAATGGACCAAACACTTCAATTAAAAGCAGTTCGGTGGGAGAAAGAAAGACTATTTCAAAAAGTGGAGCTAGAACAAGTGGATATCCACATAGAAAAACAAAAACCAAAACCGAAAACTATCAAGGTTATAGAAGACAATATGTGAGAAAGTGTACAAGAGTATCTTTCATGACCTTGAGATAAGATTTCCTAAACAGGTAACAGCAAACACTTAAAATGATGACTCTCCTCCTCTAGACAAGCAACAGGTCAGTAGGAAATACATGTATCAGCTCTGGCCCGGTAGATGAGTTGGTGAGAGTGTCACCCCAATACCCCAAGGTAGCGAGTAAGATCCCTGGCCAGGGATCATACAAGAATCAACCAATGAATGCGTAAATACATGTTTCTCTTTCCTTCCCCATCTCTCTGCAAAATCAACGAATAAAAAAAATTTAAAAATTTATCTTTATTGTTGCACGGCCAGTGTGGCTCAATGGTTGAGTGTCGACCAGGAGGTCACGGTTTGATTCCCAGTCAGGACACATGCCCCGGTTGTGGGCTCAATCCCCAGAGTGGGGTGTGCAGGAGGCAGCCGATTGATAATTCTCTCTTCATTGATGTTTCTATCTCTCTCCCCCTCTCTGAAATAAATAAAAATATATTAAACAATTTTTTCTTTATTGTTGAAAGTATTACTGATGCCCCCTTTTCTCCTCTATTGTAAAAATTTTTTAAAAAGGAAAAAAGCTCCCTGTATCAGACAAAAGATATCCATATCCAAAATATGTAAAATACTACGAATCAATAGTTTAAAAAAAAAGAGCAAACAAACCAATTTTAAAAATGGGGAAAAGACTTGAAGAGCCACTTCACATGACATAGGAATGGCCAATAAGCACATGCCAACTGTTGATGGTACAACCACTTTGAAAATTATAATTTTCTTATAACAAGAAACTCGAAAACCTATGACCACAAAAAGAATTGAGCAAGAATATTAATAGCGCCTGGAAGGTGTGGCTCCGTTGTTGGTTGAGCAATGACCTATGAACCAGGAGACCACCGTCAGATTCCTGGTCAGGGCACATGCCCAGATTGCTCGCTCCGTCTCCAGTAGGGGCCACGAAGGAGGCAGCCCAACAATGTTTCTCTCTCATCATTGATGTTTCTCTCTATCCCTCTCCCTTCTTCCTCTAAAAATCAATAAAATATATTTTAAAACAGACATTATGTTAAAAAAAGTTAATAGCTTTATTCAAAATAACCCCAACCAAGAAACAACTCAAGAGGCCATCAAAATGAGAATAAACAATCCAATGTCACATACTAAATAAAAAACGTATCAAAATACTGATACTCTACCAATACATGCAATAAGAGGGGATGAGTTTCACAAAAATCATGCTGAAGAAGCCTGACACACAGAAGCACATACTGTTATGACTCCATTTATATTAAGTTCTCTAAACAGAAATAAAAATAAAGGTGGGGGTCAGAGAAGACACTGGGAAGAGGCATGAGAAACTCTTCTGGGACGATGACAATATTCTATTTTGAAAGGCGTTACACGGTGGTTAGATGCCAAAACTCATCTAATCGCAGTGGGTATGAATGCGGCCTCAATTTATTAAAAAAGCACATTGGGTGCGCGCAGCGCCTGGTTTTTAGCAGGTGCGTCGTCAGCGACTGGAAAAGCATGATCGCATATTGAGGGGTGACGATGCGGGGGAAACGGTTAAGCTTGGGGTTGGCGGGGCTCTGCCTCTCGCGGGCAGCAACTAGCCGGACCCGCGCGCTGCAGCCGGGACCGCGGGCCGCCCCTTCCGCTTTCACGACGTTCAGTCTGCGTCCCGAGTCGGAATGGCTTAGTCCAAACCGCATACAAGTTGTTTCTCCGCCACAAATTAACCGTCGTTACACTCTTTCATCGTTTAATTCTCAAACGTACTCATTCGCGAAAATACCCAGGGGTTGCCCTGCGCACACTTAAAAACAAACAAACGAAGGAACAAACAAATAAAACCCCTCCCGCGCAATGGTAGCGCCCGCCCAGACGATAGGCGCCCAGGCGGAGCACACCATTCGGAGAGGGGGAGGGGTAGAGACCAGCATCAAAACAAAGACACGCCCGTCCTCCCTGCAAGCCGTGATTAAGTAGTCCAGGAAGAAAAAAGAAAAAATAGAGGAGGGGGTTATCGGCTTCCCTCCACAGGTCATCGGAACCAGCTTAAAAGGCATTTTCTCTCTTTCTCGTTCCCTTCCATCGGGTAAATATGAGCTGCCCCAAGGAAGAAACCGGAAGTGGTCCTGCAAGTGGCAGACATGTACAAGTAGAGCCAAACAATAACAGGGCTTCCGGGCCTCTCAGACCCGGATAAAGAACGCGCGTTTCGCGGGCAAACCTCTTCTTTCGCATTGCCCACTTCCACGACTGACAGTATTTGATTGGATTTTCTTCGTCTAGCAGAGCCGGTTGGAAAAATTATTCCAGGGAGGACAAAGGTCCGGAAGTTATGGGACCTGCCTTAGCAGCGTGGGCGCTCAGATCGCCCCGAATAATCATTTCAGAATGCAATCGGAGATTTCACTAGGGCACCCTGGGCTCTAAAATCTAGAGCCGGCAACATAATTTGATGAACAAGAATAGATCCAGAGACAAATGGCAAGGGAGGGGAGGGGGGGTTAGAGAGCAACCAAAGGACTGGTATGCATGCACATTAGCATAAACAGTGGACAGAAACACTGGGGCAATGGGGGCATGCCCCGGGTGGGAAGGGCTGGGGGTGGTAGTGGTGTCAATCGGGGAAAAAGGAGACATATAAAACTTTAGACAATAAAAAAATAAAATCTAGAGCCGGGAGTTCCAGACCGTGTTACTTAACGATTCCCCGCTCCCGGCCCTGGCATGGGGACAGGAATGGGTGGGTGGGTAAGAACCCCTTAGGCCAGCGGAAAGTTCCCCCAAGTTCCACTCCCCCGCCCAGGTGTTCAGGTTCCCAACATCCTCATTATCTACACCCCGACCTGCCAACATAGCCGCCAGCCAAGCTTCTCCTCTTCCCCGAACCCCCGGCCAAATCCCCAGGTCCCCGGCACCCCACCTCCCTCGCTGAAAATACCCGGGGTCGGGAGCTCCTGGACTCAGAGAGGACTTATCACACTGCCAAGAGCTTACCTGAGCTTCGGGGAGCGTCTCACCGGCCTGGGAAGCACGCTCCGAGGCCGGAAGCCGGGTGACCCCGGGGGCCCAGGGAACACCTGTGTCCAGGACCGTGGCTTTGGACTTTTGAGCTCAAAACTTTTAGCGCCAGTCCGAGCACATGGGATGTGGGGAAATCCCAATCCCAGCAACCCCCGCGAGACTACTGGCACAAAGCTGGACGGTAGCCATGACAAGTAAGGGCAAGCAATGTGCCGGCGGGCGGAGGCTGTTGGAAAGGAGAGGGGGAAGAGTCAGGATTCCGCTGTATCGGTGCCGTAGTTACCGACATTTTGCGATGGGGAAGTCAGACGAGCCAACGTCGTGAGGACAGAATTGGTGGAAACCATTTTGGAAGGCTCCTGCCATTGTATCCAATTGGAAGGTGGAAGGAAGAAAGCCTTTGTACTTGCCGTTCCCTCTGCCTGGAACATCTATCTCTCTCCCAGATAGTTGGGTAGTTTCTTCTCAGCTAAAAGGCCACCTTTTGGGAAGGCTTTTATTAAGACCCCAATCTAATGTATTTCCCCTAATACTCTACATCACAGCCCTATTACTATCTGAAAATATTTGTTCCTTGCCTTTAATACACAGCAGCGTTAACTTTAGTCTACTTCTTATTCACTGTTTTATGTCCCAGGGCTTAGTACAGTACTGGGAAGCAACTAAGCGCTCAGTAATAAATATTTATTTAATGAATGAAGAGACGAAAGTCTGAAGAACTTGGCGAGATGGACAAGTTCAAAACCTGTAAAATCAAGCATGGCGCTAGCGCCCTCTGCTCCCGAGGTGGGAAGTAGGCGCTTTAAGAACGACCGCGGGAGCCCGGGCTTTTCTCGCCTAGGCGGACGCTTTCAGACTACAACTCCCAGGAGCCACCAGAAGCCCCACGGCTTCATGGGAATGGTGACTCCTGGTCCCGCCCCTTCGGTGGGTCGCCCGCGAAATCTGAGCCGAGATGCGGAGACCCAATTGAAAGGTTGGCCCAGATCTCGCGAGAGCTAGTGGCGCGTAGGGACCAACCCGGCTGAGGTCCGCGGTGCTTTCAACATTGGTGTCCCAGCGGCTACGTTCCATTCCCGGGGTCTTCTGCCCCCTCCCGGAAGAGGAAGGGAGGCACAGGTGGGTCTCTCTAGTCGGCTTCCCGGATCCTGGTGAATTTTGAAGCGGAGCGGCCGGGGCAGCTAGCTGGCAGCCAGCGGGAAGAGGGCTGCCTGGCCGAGGCCAATGCCTGCCGCGCTTCCTCGGCGGTATGAAGACGTCCGAGGAGCCACCGTTAGCGCCCTACTGCCTGTCTGCAGACAAGGCCCCGGCTTCAGCCCGTCTCTCGCCTCAGGCTTCCCCGATGGATACAAATACGGACCCAGAACTGATGCCATTGACATCCGAAGGCGATGATCTGCCCCGCGTGTCCCCCGATCCCATGGCTGGCTCAGCTGTGTCCCAGGAGCCCGAGGAGGGGGACCCAGCTTCTCTCTCCACTTCCCCGGAAACAGGGGTTTGCACTCCCAGTGAGTTGAGCCCTGGAATCAAGGAGCAAGAACTTTCTGAAAATGTGAGCCTTCCTGCGGAGGAAACGAACGGGCCAGAATTGGGGCCTGGAGAAGCCATGGAAGGTGTGTCTGAGGAGCCCGTTCCTGAGGAGGAGGGGTCCACGTAAGTGGTGCTGGCAGTTGACGGAGGGAATCCGAGGACATTGGAAATCCGAGATGCATGGAAGTGTGCGATGTCCCTTATCCTCCGGTCCTCAGTCCCAGTTCTCCAGGCCTATTTCCTCTTTGCTTTGGCGACTCAGGTTTGTTGTCCCCCATCTTCCTTCCAGCACTTGGAGCTACAGCTTCTCCCAACTACCTCAGTTTCTCAGTGGTTCCTGGTCAGAGTTCAGCGCCCAGCCTGAGAACTTCTTGAAAGGCTGTAAGTGGTAAGGAAAACGGGGCAGGGAGATAAACACACCAGGATTTTTACCTCCAAAAACCCCATTTACCTGGGAGAAGGATTCACCAGAGGTGGGAGTAGGAGTAAGAATCCCTCTTGGACTGAACTTCAGATTCACCTAGGATTTTGTCTTCTACTTCCCTCATGGTTCTGGGGGGAATTTACTCCCTAGACATAGGCTCAGCCCTAGCCCTACACTTGGAAAATGTAGGTCTGTCTAGCTTTCTAACCTTTGCCTACTCCTAGGGCCCCTGATGGTTCCTGCATCTTGACCAATAGTGCTGATAACATCCTGCGGATTTATAACCTACCCCCAGAGATGTACAATGAAGGGGAACAGCGGGAATATGCAGAAATGGTAAGGGTAAGGGCTAAACCAGCCCTTTCACCAGACACTGAACATCTTCTTCATCATGAATTTCCATAGGTAGCATTTTTTATCCTAAATTCTGAAGTCCTTTATTTATTTTTATTTTGTTTTTTAAAATTGATTTGAGAGAGAGAGAGAAAGAAAGAAACATCTATTTGTTGCCTTATCCGGTTTGGCTCAGTGGATAGAGCGTTGGCCTGTGGACTGAAGGGTCCAGGGTTTCTATTCCGGTCAAGGGCACATGCCAGGGGTTGTGGGCTCAATCCCTAGTAGGGAGCCTGCAGGAGGCAGCCGATTGATGATTCTCTCTCATCATTGATGTTTCTATCTCTCCCTCTCCCTTCCTCTCTGAAATCAATAAAAATATATATTTAAAAAAAAAAAGAAACATCTATTTGTTATCCTACTTATTTATGCATTCAACCTGACTGGGATTGAACCCAAAACCTTGGTGTTGGGAGGACGCTGTAACCAATTGAACTAGGGTATAAAGTCATTTAGAGAGATGTTTGTCCCTTCTTTAGTCAGGAATATGTGTTTTCCATAAAAGAGTAGTGACTTTTAGTGAGAGTACTTAATTGACTTACAGATTTTTTTATTTTTAAAATTTTATTTTAATGGTATTTTATGTTTTGTTAATCCTCACTCGAGTATATTTTTCCATTGATTTTTAGAGAGAGTGGAGGGGGGAAAGACAGAGAAACATCGATATGTCGATTGGTTGCCTCCCACACGGGGATTGAGCCTGCAACTGAGATACGTGCCCTTGACTGGAATTGAACCTGGGACCCTGCAGTCTGCGGGTTGGTTGATGCTCTATCCAAACCAGCTAGGGCCAGGTTTTTTTGAGAGTACATTTATTAAAGCTGGGCACAGTGAAACAAGGAAGGGCTTAGGACAGAAGAAGCAACAGGAGGGAGCCTAGGTGGGGCTGCTGTGGCTCTCTAGAAATGTTATAGGAAAGAAATGGTCCCAGGCAGGGCTGCTTTGGCTCACTGGAAAGTCAGAGAAAAGGAACCTTGGAGACGGGTTAAGGTGGTTAGCCAGGGTGAACTGCCGCTGCCCATTGCTCCCCTGGTTACAAGTCTTGTGGGGACCTTAGAGTTTAGGAGATGCATGCCTGAGAAGGAAGAAAGGTGTGGGCGTGCTCCTGAGAGGGAGAGTGCTGACAGATATTTACTGAATGATTACCAATACATCAGTTACTGTGTGGTGCTGGGATAAAGTGAATGAGACAGATGAGCTGGTTTGCTTTCTTGTTTGGGAGATAGACAACAAACATGCAAACCAATAAATAACCAAGTTCATTACAAATGATAATAAATGTTATGAAGGAAGTAAAACAGAATGAGAGAATAACGAGAGGATACGACTGAGATAAAATGGTCAGGAAGGGGCCTTCTGAAAAGGAGACATTTAAACTGAGACCTGAAGGATATGAGATAGTCATGTGAAGAACTGTAGAAAGAGCATTCTGGGGAGAAGCAATGATCTTGCAAAAACCAAGAGCTGGGAAAGAGCTTTGTGTGTTCAAGGCACAGAAAAAAGACTAATGCACCTGGACTGAGGCCAGCGAGAGGGGAAGGGTGCTGCTTATGGAGAGATGGCCAGTAGCCACATTGTGTCAGATCTTGTCAGTAAGGCATTTGGAGTTTATTTGGGAAGCCATGTAGAGTTTTAAAACAGGTGTGAAATGATGGCTGAATTTTAGAGAATGGACTGTGGGTGGGCAACAGTGAAATCAGGAAGACTCATTAGAATGCGTTTTTCATGGTCCAGGCAAGAAATGATGGTGGCGTGGGCCAGGGTGGTGTCAGGGAAGATGGGGAGATGTGGATGGGTTTGAAGTATATTTTGTAGGACTTGGAGGTCAATTGGATGTGGAGGTGCAGGGAAGGGAGCAGTCAAGTGTGGTGTCCAGGTTTTGCTGCCAGAGGGATGGTATGATTTACTCAGAGCAGGAAACAGGGATATAAAAAGGTATTGGGACAAGTCAGGAGTTTTTAGGTACATTAATTGTGAAATGTAAAACTACGGGGAGAAGTTGGGGCTGGGGATATACTTTGAGAAGTGGGGGAGCATGTAGATAATATGTTGTGTCTTGAGAGTGGATTCCGTCTCAAGAGAGAGTGTAGATGGAGAAGGAGAAGGCTCAAGCAGAGCCCTGCGTTCCAGCATATGGAGGAGGAGTGCAGAAGAAACTACAAAAATGGAGGCAGAGAGTCATGCCTAACGCTGCTGAAAGGGAGGCAGATTTAGAGAATAACCCAAGAAGGCATTAGTGATCCTGACAAGAGTACTTTCAGGGGAGTGATGGAGGCAGAAGCCAATCAGAGTGGGTGGGAGAGGAAATATAGACACTTCCTTGGAAGAGTTTTCTTATGACAGGAAACAGAAATGGAATGATGACCAGAGGAACTGTGAGTCCAAAATAGGGTTAATGGTTGCCTCTGTGTTGTCAGGAATAACTCCAGTAGACAGGAATTGGTGCTCTAGGAGAGAGAAGGGTTAACAAAGCCACCGAGTAGCTGGGTGAAGACAGGCTCCAGAGTACATTAGAGGTCTTTGATAGGTTCAGGATAATCCCTTGCTGTAGAACAGTGGTTCTCAACCTTCTGGCCCTTTAAATACAGTTCCTCATCTTGTGACCCAACCATAAAATTATTTTGGTTGCTACTTCATAACTGTAATGTTGCTACTGTTATGAATTGTAAAGTAAATATCTGATATGCAGGATGGTCTTAGGCGACCCCTGTGAAAGTGTCGTTCTACCGCCAAAGGGGTCGCGACCCACAGGTTGAGAACTGCTGCTGTAGAAGGAAAGGCAGAAGATGCATTCAGAGGCACCTGTTTGGTGTTTGGAAGATTTCAGTGTCTCTCTGTTGGCTTCTCAGTGAAGCATAAAGGGAGCTTATCGGCTGAAGGAAGAGGGCCTGTAGGCAGAGAGCAGGAGTGAAGGATCGGTCCTGGAGAGCTGAAGATCAAAACCACCATAGAATGTGGAGGATTGCTCATCTTTGCCCATTGCTCACTAGAAATGTGTTGCCATCCATTTAAAGTCAAAACAATTAGCGTGCTTATGCATCTTTCCCCAGCAAGGTAATGGACCACAGTTTCTGAGTTTTTAAAATGAGGATGATAATAATGACACTCACCTCACAGAGCTGTGAAAATTAAAAGAATTAATGTAAAGTGCTTAAAACAGTGCCTGATGTAGTAAGTATTCAATAAGCACTAGCAGTCACTGATATTAGTTGAGTGCAAACATGGAGGATAGTCTGGTTGGGGTTTGTCAGGGGTGAAAGACAAGGGTGTCTTTCAAAAAAATATGTTTTCATTGATTTTGAGAGAGAGAGGAAGGGAGAGGGATAGAGAGATAGAAACATAGATGCAAGAGAAACATCAACATTGATCGGCT